CTTTAATTTACCCTATCTTTTATTGCGTTTAAAACGTTTTTATAGTAAATATTCTATTTTTCCTTAGGTGCGCCGCATTCCCTATATTGTATCATTCTCCCCTATATTGTACAGGCCATTGAAAATGAAACAAACTGAATAATTATACGCATCAGGCTTTCACAAGTTTCATAGGTATTATCTTCAATTGTACCAGAAGGTTTGCGAGTTTTCGCCGTGTCTTTCTTCATTCTTGATGCCGACGTTTCGTGAACCATGCCGTTTATTTCATCAAGGCGAGACGTCCGCTGATGATACAGTATCAGTAAACCTTCTGGTACAATTGAAAATTGAATAACTCCTACAAAAATTATTTTGCGAAAAAAACGAAAAGCATTGGTTGATTTTTATTGGGAGAGGGACATCTTTTAACATACCTATAATTCTTATCCTCAACTTCAATCTTCCTAAACGGGGTTGCTAATTCTTAAAAGATTTCAAATGGAAAGAGAGAGTCGAGTAATATATTATTAAAAACATCTTTCAATAATTCCCTACATTGATCCTATGCGCGTTTTATTTTTAAAATTCAATCAATTCGTTTAAAAAATACAGGGCATTAAAATAAACAAATTTAATTCATATCTTCAGATTTTTTTCTTTATTATTAATATATGTGAAACCGGATTCATTAATCAATTGCAAGGGTTGTTTAAGGATCCTTATAATATATATCGATATATATCATTCGTCATAAGTTAGCGTAATTTTTCGAAATGTTGACTACTAACTTCTACGTGACATATATTATAATAATAGAGATCCTGCTTAAAATGCAGTTATCGTACATTTCAGCTGTTCTGTCAACACATTCATTACATTTCCAAAGAAAAGTGCAATATTATTTCAACCTTTTCTCTCTCTCTCTCTCTCTCTCTCTCTCTCTCTGCAATCGAGTGAACCATGTCATTTAAAATGTTTTAATTTACATAAACAAGATTATAAAATTCACTTGTGCATACTAGATACTGTACAGTATAATCTTGCTTTAAGATTATAATGAAGAAAGATAGATTTCGTTGCTAATACTCTTTTGTATTAAGAATATAAAAAACAATCAAAATATTAGAGCACAGTAGAAATAACAATCGGAATTCTTAACACTTTAATTGGTCTTTAAACATATACTTTCCTTAAAAGTCAGAATCTCTATTAAGGCCTCGATCTGTACACGGTCAGTAATACTGTCAGTATCAACGAATATTGACAATATTATTGATTGTGTGATTAATATTAATGGATTGACGTAGAATACTGACAATGATTTGGATTTAAATATATGCATTTTTCTTAAGATCCATGTCGCCATAGATAATAATATACGTCAAACTGAAGTGAAATATTATCGCAATAATACCTGATCGTATGCAACTGTAAAAACTAATAATAAATAAATAACAAGGGCGATGTAAGAGTCAAAATATAAATTCATTTAATATAATGTTAAAAATCCAAGTAATAAAATAAAATAAAATTTAATTAAAAACCGTAAAAATAAAAATATAACTATGAAGAACTACTAATGCATACTGTCAGTAATATTGATCAGTAATACTGACTCAATATTACTGACCGTGTAGGGAGGCCTTTAGTGCAGTGGAAGTCGCGATCAATATTTCGAAAAATTACTACGCCAACTTACACGATAGTATGTCTTTAGACACCCTTTGCAATTAATTGATTAATGGATTGGTTTGATAATAAAGAAAAATGCAGGAAATAAAAAGTTTCTTTTTAAAACAAGTCACGGTTATTGAGTAGAAAAAATAATGAGTTATCGTTACCAATTATATACAGATTTTTAAAAGTAACTCGTTACAGTTATTGTTACTTTTACTTTTTTAAAATTGACGACCAGTCACAGCGGATGCTTATAGGGGCTTTATATGTTTTAAGCGTTCAATTGAACCATATCTAACGTGACATGCCAAGTAACGACAAACGTAACTGTAAAATTCATTACAGTTACAAAAAATGTAATTGTATTACCGTTAATCATCCAAAAAAAGTAACATAGTTATCAGTAAAGTTACCAAATTATAGTTATAACTCCGTTACAAGTAACGAGTTTCTTTCCTGAAAGTTTGAAGATATATAAATTTGTTGGTTTTAGATTTAACATCTTCTAAACAAATTGATCGAATTAAAAAATAAAACGTAGAAATGTAGAGAATCAAAAGACGTTTCTAATGTTGTTAGATATCATTGGATTCTTCTCTCATTTGAATTTTTTTAAAGGCAAAGAGCCAAATATAGTTTAAAAAATATAAATATAATTAATTTAGAATTCGCAATACATTCAAACAGAGTAAATTTAACAATAAATATAAAATTCGTATACGTTTCGACACCGACCGGGTATTTTCAATGTTAAATTTATATAAAATTAAATGTGTATAATACTTTTCCTGAGGTTTCTGCCTACTCATTTCTTATCCTTATTTCAAAAAGAACAGTCGAATTTTTACAACTGTAATTTAGATTATTTTATAATTTCAATAATGGATTTAATAATGGACTTAATAAACATGCTGAATTTTATGGACTGTGCATTTTTTATTACATCTATGTTAAGGTAACAAAATATATGTTTTATACAACATACTTTTTCACTATTAAAGTTTAAAATTATATACATTTTTGTTATTAGATTTATGTAACTTATATTGCGAAACAAAACACAAAGAAAGATCCATGTTCAATTATACACATTTAATTTTATACTTGTGACTTGTCAATTTTATTATACATATTTAATTTTAAATAAATTTAACATTGAAAATGACCCGATCGGTGTCGAAACGTATGCGAATTTTATATTTATTGTTAAGTTTACTCTGTTTGAATGTATTGCGAATTCTGAATTAATTATATTTATATTTTTTTAAACTATTTGGCTCTTTGCTCTTATTTTTAATTAATTTGTTTTATACTTGTTGAGCCTTCTATTAAATTATTTTTTTAAAGGCATTTTTTTACCCCCCCCCCTACTTAGAAAGTAAAAGTTGAGAGTAAGAATTGTACGTTAGAATTGATATCTTCCTCTCAATAAAAATCGACCTAACTTTGCATTTTTTCGAAAAATCATTTTTGTAGGAGTCATTCAATCTATTTCGATGGCTCACCTTATATATACATGTATGGACTGTGTGTTGAATTTATTTTTAAAATTTATTCCTAAAAAAAAAAGAAATCCAAACTTTTTGCTTGTAATAAGGTATAAGATACGAGATTTAACAATCTGCAGGCCAACTATGAAATGCGTTTAGAAAGACGCTATTAGTTCTATTTGTGTTATTCTATCCTTGTTTTATGTCTAATAAATGATGAAGATAGAATGGCACAAATAGCGCTAATAGCGTTTCTCCGAACGCATCTATAGTTTCGTTCCAATAAAAGAATACTTAAATATCATAAAGTCTTTATTCCACATGCGAAGTAGCGGACTGAAAAAAAGAAAAGACAAAGGACACTTGAAGAATAATGTAATTAAACTTCATAATTAATCAGTTTATATTGTATAATTACTTGATCTTTGCGTTTATCAAAATTGGTGATTTTGTAATCATGCATCTAACATGTACATAGTGTTTTATTCATTTCATTAAGTATATAAGATAGATCGTTTCAATCAAGGATTCTCTCAATCTTCTACAGCTTTTTTCAACACATACAACATCGCATGTTATGAAGTTACAAAATTGTAAAAAAAATAGATGTAAGAAAACAATGACGTATAATGAAAGTATAAATAACAAATTATAAATAAAAAAAGTATCACGTTAAAATGAAAATATACGGTGTATTGATTAAAATATGCTTGAAAGATTAATCATCATAATTTTTGTTTTTTGTTACGTTTCTTCATGTAAACATGCTTTATGATTAACAGCATGATTGTATTCGCATAAACGATTACAATTCATTAAAGACAACGATTTCACAATTACAGCTACAACGATTACACAACATGTTTACATACACATACACTACAACGTTTAAGTCCAGCTTTTGACAATAAGTTTCAACGTATCGCTTAAATAAATTCTTATGCAAATAATACAATAATGTTATTTCAATTCGGATTGCACGCGACGTCTGTATTTGTATAAATTTATCTATATTTCCAAAATAAAATAAGAGATTAAGCAACAGTTAGAAAGTACATATCTTCTAAAAAAATCTTCCAAAAATCATCTCTTAGTTTTTAAAAGAGAATTTATCACTAAATGTTATGTGTTAAGAAGTAGCACAAATTAAATCCAATTTAAGTTTCGCGCTCTTTTGAAATTGATGAAACAGTTAATTTCAGGCTGGGTCATTTTACCTTTCAATAAATCTCAATTTGTTCTCTCTCACTTTCGTTCTCTTTCTTATTCTTTTATTAAATAAATTACAAGAAATTTATCTAAAGGTAGACTAACCAATCAAGAAAGTTGACAAACCAACTTCAGGAAAATTGATAAACAATCAGTTTTAGTAGAGCACAATTAAACTGGAATTTAGCTCGTGTCACTTCTTATGATTCTTTCATCGTATATTCTCTTAGTAATTCTGATAATTTTATACTTATCGACAGATACATGCATTCTAACTCTCTGTATTTAATTTATTACCTAATTATCTTGAAAAAAAGATTTATGTATAAAAAAAATAAATACAGATATCTAGTACAAATCGACATGAAATAATATAGTTGTAAAAAGATATTGTATATTATATTATACATACACACACAACTTATAAACACATACAACTTATAAACAAATGTTACTTAATAGAAAAGCTAAATTTGACATGATAATTAAATATTTTACGTAATTTTACAACGTAATGTCGTGGAAAAAACCAGTGCGCGTATATCTGTAAACAATGATTTAACAAGGGACATTTATTTGCTACAGTTTTCTCCTTTTATTTAAATCTTAATAGATAAAAAATAAGATAATTCCAATTGTGGCTCTAGAATATTTTATTTATAATAGATGTGGCTAAGGAATTGTTTCAATTTGAAAGCATTAAATGATATTAATTTACAAGTGATGTGAGCAATTGTAAGATACTTCTGCATGTACACGCGTTTTTTCTACCGTATTTTAGCTAATCCGTGCGTCACTCGTTTCAACAAGATAAGTTTTTTAACATCCTATATTTCGCGAAAAGGATTACTATGTATCGTAATCCTCGTCAATATTGGCGGTGCGAGCAAAGTTTGACGTTGGCTGGTCGCTCGCGCTTGGGTTAAGCTCTGTATAAAAATTTGGTCGACTAATTTGGAAGGCCATAGGCACAGACATGTTGAATTCCGGAATCTGTGAGATTCCGCCCACTATCGTCGCGGCCCTTTGATTAGAGGGATTCAAATTGTTCGAAACTACGCTTGATCCGTTGTCTCTCATGTTCTTGTGGTTTACATTCATTTCGGTGCTAACTGGTAACCCCAGATACTTTTGATATCTGAAGAAATATGAATTGTAACATTATTGGAAAAATTTTTATACAGGCAAATCAAACAGAAACTCACTCTAATGGATCAAAATGCTGCATCATTGTCGAACACGCTGCATTTGGTGCATTGCTTTGTGATGTTTCTGGTGACATTGGTACTTCGTCATCAGGTCCCGATACATCAGGTAGAGATTTCACTAGATCCTTTAGAAAGTCGAATCGACTTTCCGACAAGATACACTGTTTCCTACAAACATATAAGCTACAGCATATGCTATGCGAGATTCTTTTACTTTGTAACTTTTCTAAGTATTTGTTAATTAAAAAAAATATAATAAACAGGTAAAAGGCTAATAAGAGTCAGACATATAAAATTGAAAATTGTATCAACACAAATATATTGACTTAACTATATATAAAAAATTGACATAAAAATTAAACATTAATAAAATTTGTAATGTGTTGACGAGTATCCAGGTTTCTCAGAACAGTCACTCAATTTTTCTGCTAGTTTCATGTTTTTTGCACATTTTTTATTAATTCTTAACTAAAACCGTCTCTAGTCTGCTATAATGTGTTTCTTCGTATTTAAATTTTGTACATCTGATGATGGCCAAAACCCGTAGCCGAAACATGTAGTGCGCTTTTTACTATTACAATAATATAATAATATAATTTGTTTATTATATTCAACACATTACATATTTTATTAATGTTTAATTTTTATGTCAATTTTTTATATATAGTTAAGTCATATTTGTGTTGATACAATTTTCAATTTTATATGTCTGACTCTTATTAGCCTTTTACCTGTTTATTATATTTTTTCAATACTAAGAGTCCTTTATTTATATATTTAATTTGTTAATTAAGTTTTTTTTTACTATCTCACTAAAGGCCGTATTCATAGTCGCGATAATATCCAAGTTTAGAGTTAGATTTCAGACTTTCACTTGAAAAACGCTTCTCAAATCATGATTTAATAATTTGATTTCTAACTTTGTTTCGAACTTAATTCATCTATTCTGTAACTTTTAACGATAGTTCGGTATCGTTATATTATTGTTGCGCAGCTTTTTCACCATTTAAATCCTTTCACTTGTGCAACGACATCCCTAGCCAGTAAAATTATTATTACAGAATAGACCTATTGAAATAAGGATCATAGATCGATATACGATTATGAATACGAATTTAAGAGTTATAAAGAAAAATTTATTGTATCTATGTGTTGTGAATATTTAAAAAAGTTTTGCAGTATTATAAATATAACGTTTACTTATTTACCATAATAAAACTTAAAAAATAAATAATAAAAATAAGAACCAATAAAAAAATAAAGTTTCAAAAACATAAATTTAAATGTTTTAATTTATTAAAATTTGTAATGTTAAATTTTTTAATACAATTTTGTTGCAATAATTGATTGTAGAAAAATAAAAGTTCTTTCTTTTTTGTATTCTCTTTTCTTTGTAAATAAAAACATAACTTTTATTTTAATTATTAGTGCAACAAATGGGCGATAAGAAAAACTCTGACAGAATGACAATATTACAGTTTACTCACATATGAGATGGACTTAAAGTCTTAGCGTTTTTGGCACTCGTGATCTGCATGGTCTTGGTTAATAAAGAGTGCACAAATAGTTCTAAGGTTCTAGGTAAGCTCCATTAAGGAATAATCGAACTCTTACAAAAAAACATGGTAAATGTAACAAATATATTCTCTATTGTTATCTATGAGGATTCATGCTCGCAAGAAAAAAATGAATAAATGTACTGTTATTTACTAAAGAATATATCCTCCAAAACAAAATTATCCTTTCCTATTATAAACAATACAAGAAAAATAGTAGAGTATTTCTTAGTACTGCTAGGACTTAGATTTAAGCCTTTCTTGAGTTTCTTGAGGAGCTACTCTGCAGCTGAACCACAACAACTCTTTTTTAACATTTCTGTGTGTTTGATCCATATATCTTGCAGCTAGGACAACCCACGGTTGCCAGGTTTCCAGTTTTTTTTACCGGAGACTCCAGTTTTTGGGACCAATCTCTGGTTTTCTGGCTGACGGAAAAAACATCTGGTTTTTCGCTCGCATAGATATTCACTAACTTGACTATCCAATGATCTGTGGAATATTAAATTATGTAGAAAGTAATATGGTAAAAGAATATTTCATCATTCAAAATCAAGTTTTACCATTTAGGACTCTTGTTTTCTAATTATTGTGTAGTGTCGCATAACGATTTTATTCAAAACTTTGTATTGTTTATATCCACGGCTCCTAGCATGCGTATTTCTAATACAATATACAAGTTATTACGAAGAATATTACTAAGGCCTCGGTAGTCTAGAGGCTTAGGACGCTCGCACAAGAGATCCGGGTTTGACCCTGGCCGAAGTATCTTTTGCAATAAATTTATTTACAGTTTTTCAACACATTAACATATTTACAATAAGATATTTAATTGAGCATCAAATTATTAAATTGCTTGTCAATTTAATTTGTGATATTACTACAGTAGTTTAATTGGATTGCGTTTCAAGAATGAAAATAATTTCGGAGCATGGTTTTGAAGATTACATATACTTATGTAGCATGTAAATTCACACAAAGTTATTTTAGCACTTAAGATCTAGCTTGACTGTTTAGGGTCTTTATTTCGTAATTAAAAGAATATTTGTTTTAATAATGAGAAAGTCTGTGATTATGTTTGCACTTTATATTATAATATATAAGAAGATATCTATGCATTACAAGACTCTTAATATTCAAAATATAATAATTAAGAAAAATAATTAATAAAGATCAAACATCCAAAATCAATATCTTATCAATTGAATCAACGCAAATGTATTAATTAAAATTATACACATTAAATAATTGAAAATACAAAGATTAAATAAGAAGAGAATTTAACACTGAGAGAAATACAATAATAAATAAATGTATAATATGTTTTGGCCATCTATTTTGGCCCTCTTTAGATATACAGTTATTTTATTAAAACGCAATAAACCAATAAATAAGACAAACGACGGTTTTATTATTATATTTTAAGACATCTATGATTGTGATATTATATTTAAGATATCTATGATTGTTTGCACTATGTAAGTTTAATAATAAAAAGAAAGTATGCAACAGTAGTTTTATGGATAAAATCCTATAGTTTTTTTTGGAAAACAATGGCCAGCCTCTAATTAGCAAATCTCCAGCATATAGATCTTGGAGGTCCAGCTAGATAGTACTTGAAACCTGGCAACTGTGGGACAGTCTAATAACATTTATCATGTTACTGATAGCTTTTCACTTGATAGCTTTAAACTTGAAGATTCTCTGATTTCCTTCCGTCACAGACATAATGTATTTTACCATCTTATATATACTTCTTAAGTATCTTAATCCTTATTCTAAACTCCTTATCGCTTAAGCAAATTCAATTCCATTTTTGGAAGCTATAGATAACAATATGAGAAAAATATAGGATGCTCCAAAATATTGCTAAAATTCAAAATCTATTGAGACTGAAAGAGATCTCTTTTTCTTCCTTCTCCAACAATCACTTCTGTCATAACTATCTCTTTTTAATATTTCTGTTTCACCCAACATATCTTGTTATATATTATCTTTGACATATGGATACAAACACTGATGCAACTAAGGTGCAAAATATACAAGAGAAAGAAAATGTACACGCACAAGAGAGAGAAAGAGAGAGAAAAGGAGTTATAAGAAAAGGATATAGATTATGATTGGCACTGCCTGGGCGACCTTTCCAACCTCTTCATCAGTCTGCATGATCTTCTTGATACGACCCTGACAACAGACATGCGGGATGTAGGTTTAGGTTATGTCACTCGTACGATAATGTCGCTGCGCTTGGTCTTCGCGTCGAGACACTTCCGTGTCTTCCGATACGTCGGATCAGCGGATCGCGACATTCAGTACAAAAAAAGTAGAGCACGTTTTTCCGTCGCGGTAATCGGACGTCGGAGACGCAAGTCGAGACAATGAAACTCCGGAGTAAGCGTTCGCCTCCTCTTTCTCTCTTCGTCTTTCCACGGCGTCACCGACGCGCGTTCCGCAACGGAACTGGCCGCCGACAGGACGGATTAAAACGGGAAAGATTGGCTTACCGCTGGAAAACGAGCGTTGTATTTTTTCTTCTTGCTGGGCATGCCGTTATCGCGATATGTTACGACGCGATACGGCACGGGGTGACGGTATTGCACGGCGCAACCACCGTAGACGGCGTAAAGTCGCAACAACACTTGCAAAACGCACGCACGCGACACGACGCGATCGCGTGCGTAAACAAACGAGGCGAACAGGCTCGAGGAGGGGAAGAACCAGCGACCGCGTCACGGTAACCTCTTCTCGCACTCAGCATCATAGAGAACCTCTAGAGGCGCGTTCAGATTCCCACCCGGGTGCTCTCCAAGTGTCATGTTATCCTTGTTCAATGTACAATGAACGATAAAGACAGAGTAATATCTGGGTGGCACTCAAGTGAGAATTCTAAACATAGCCTAGGAGAGAGTATCGCCAATTTGGTCATGTGACTGATTGTTATATCCAAAGACACTTTGGTTATATCCGCAACATTTTCAATTTTGTCCAATTTATTATAAATAAACCTTAAAGTGTTTTTTTTTTTTTTTTTTTTAGATGGCGTCACATGGAGCGGAAATTACAGGCGGAACGGAACAGTGAGACCAATCAGAACTCTGCAATCATTACTCCGCTTTCCTTTCTGTGATTGTGATTGGTCTTTCCGTTACATGTGACGCCACCCTGAGTCCGCATTTTCCGCGCTTCATGTAAACGCACCCTGACGCTCATATTTTGAAAGGAATATTATAAATGGTTATAAAATGAAACGCCATATGAGAGAGAGAGAAGCGGGAACATGGATTCTACAGAAATCGATGAATCTATTTTTCTTAATGATGTAAAAAGCAATGAAGTTTATACCATCTTGTTGACTGGAGAAGAAGCAAAATGTTTAGGAGCAGGTAAATTCATTCATTCTTTAGTGTTCTTTTCGGAATTACTATTGGAAATATTTAAGGTTATATTTATTGCTGTTATTTTTTTAAACGGTCACCAGTTTGTAATAACTGTTCCAAAGAGCGCGCATATTGCATTATTCCATTCATATTATTTACCGAATGTTAAACAAAGATCAAATGATCCATCACATGCAATATATGCTTTATGGATCTAGAATTTTTTTCTAATTTTTGAGCTATTAAATTTTGTTTTTCTATTTTTAAATTTCGTTTTTACAACTACAAAACTGAACGAGGTAAAGCATGATAAGTTTAATATATTTGTTTAAATATAACAGCTTTAATAATTTACGTGATGCATAAAGAAAATATTTTATAAGGAATTTCTGATTCTACAATTGTTTTTATTTAGATAATAGCATAAATAAAATACATCATGAAGAGTCTGTACACAATGACCATAGTGACAATGTTGGAGGTATTTTTAACAATATTTTTTAAATAACAAGTGTAATTTGTTAATTAAAAAGATTGTGTTTATAGCTTTTAAATGGTCTCATGAAGCGACTCTTTTATTAATCGAAGAATATAATTTGCGACAACAAGATTTTACCAGTGGAATTATGTCACAGAAGAAGTTATGGTCATTAATTGCAGATCAATTAAAACAACATGAATATAATGTAACTGGACTGCAATGTTTATCTAAGTTTTCTGGTTTGAAACGAACTTATAATAGTATTAAAGAAAGTAACAACAGACATAGATCTAAACCATGGCCATATTTTTCTGTAAGTTATTAAGTTCATATTCAATACAGTCTAATAGCCATCTAAAAGTATTAAGGTTGATATTCATAGCCTGTTCTTATTTCAAAACCATCCTAAGTAATGTCAATCTTAAGATGTTAAAGTACTTTTTTGATCAGTATTTATAGTTGATTCTTATATTTGAGGGAGACTGTTTTAAGTACAGTCTTAAGATATCATAATCCAATCAGAAGGCTAAACTAGCATTTTAAGACATTATTTAAGATGGTCTTAAAATAAGAAAGGACTATGAATACCGTCCTTTAATTTATATAATCATAAGATTGTACTTAAACAATTTTAAATATAAATATCGACTATGAATACCATTCTTAAATACAACAAAATTTTTTAATTTTATATCTGAATCTATGATGATAATTTTTATCAGTGATTAATCAATAATTTGATTATTAGAAGAGTATTTATAATTATTTTTTTATATTCGTACAAAAATATAATTTAAATGAATATCTTTCAGCATATGGATGAATTACTTCAGCCAAAATCATGTACATCACCATTAATGACAGTATTATTGACTGAAAAGAAATATAAGGTACATTCTACATGCAGCACATCTAGTCTAGATACTTGTTTCGAAGATGAGCCAGTGCATAGTAAGTTCATACCAAGTTCTTTATAGTTGTCTGTTTACTTTATAGTATGTTACATTAGATGACAAGAACAAGGCAAAAAGTAAATAAGATAGTAGACATAAATTTTCTTGCTTAAAAGTCTGATTAAATTAGATAGGAAAAAAAATCTGATTGAATCATGTTTTTGATTCATATACAAAATTTCAGATTATTTCTAAATATCTAAAATATTTGATACGTTTTCAATATCTCTATGATAAAAACAAAAATGTACAAAAATCTGGAAAATCTATTAAATATTTCAGGTGAGTAATCTGAAATTACGAATCAAAAACATGATTCAATCAGAATAGAAAGAGTATTTTATCCGATCTTAATGAACTTTATAAGCAAGTGTATACATTTTTGAAAACCAATATAAGATTCGAACTTAAGGCATATGGAGTGGTAATGTAATATACTAACTCTGAACTATAATTGCACTAAATTTGCGGGAATTTTCGATTACCTATCATGAAAGCTTGAAGCTTCTTCTACAAAATTGTTTTTTTAAATTATTCCTACGATTTTTTGTTTCTGAGTTATTTGTGAGTTAAGGAGCATTCTGATTTTGATTGCTCATAACTCCATTAAAAATTATTGTATTGCAATTAAGAAATCAGATTCTTAGAGCTGAAACTTTACACTATCAAATGGTATAATCGCTAATTTTTTAAATGTACAATACTATTTTGAGCTAGAAAATTTGAAACAAACTTTCGAATAACCTAATACGACTCATATCTAATGTCATTTGAGTCTTCACAAGATGTTGGTGTGTGATATAAATTAAGTAAAAGAAATGCTACCGTTCTCCATCAACATTTTTAATGGTGCTTGTTACGTATAAATTTAATTTCAATTATTTTGAGCTGAAATTCTGGATAACATTAATTAATAACATTATATGATATTTTAGTAAAAAGATAGGTCATTAATGAGCAAAAAGTAAGATTAATATATAACTTTATCGGGGTATTTAAAGACTGAAGAAGACTAAGTTAAGTGTGTTGAAACGTTAAAAAAATATTAATCTTACTTTTTGTGCTCGTTAATGACCTATTTTTTTACTAAATTGTTTTGACAATATGGAGCAGGCAATTTACATTATATTACATGATATTATTTATGTTTAATTTAGAAAAATCTCGGCAAATGTCTACTATAGAAGAATATGTGAAAGATCTTCGAAATGAAAGAAAAATTTCAGAAGCAGCTGTTGAGAGGCGTCATAAAGAAAACATAGAATTACGTCATCGATTACTTCATTCATTTGAGAAAATGTTAGATATTTTGAAAAAAAAATAAAACATTAAAAAATATAAAAGTACAAAACCTATTTGATTAATTATATATTGAATTACGAAGCTTCAAACATTTTGATAAACGGACTGTAATCAACAACAAGGATAAAACCGATAAGGCAAAGCAACAAGTAAATCAAAGTTCTTGCTTTAATTAATACTCTATATTTAATATATATAATTAATCATATTTAATATATGGAATGTTTCAATCTTATTAACGAATAGTGAGATCCAACTATTCCCCTCTTTTTGATGAGCTTTTAGTATATTGTTCTCTGGATAAAAATAAGCAACACGTTTCTATCCCATTCTAGAATTAGAAAGAAATAAGGACTAAGTTAACTTAACCTCAGTTAAGAGTTAATCATGAATTGTAAAAAAAAACTTAATTTCATTTCAGATATAATAATGTTACCTTTTTCACCAATTAATGACGTCATTTATTTACTATATATTTACAACATTAAACTTACAGATAAATGACTAATCGACGTACTAACCTTATTAATGATCAATTAATAATGCATGTACAATTTCACGAGCCACTCTAATTGAGCATTTCAGCGATGAAAAGGATCACATAGTCAAAATTAACAAATATTAAACGTCAATTTTAATCACATGATCCTTTTTGTCCCTGAAATGGCCGGTTGAAGCGGTTCGTGAAAATGTACATACCTAGTACGTCATTTATTTATATCATTAATAACACGAAAATAATAAATTTTCGATTTATATGTATAACGTTATATGTGACTGTGACAAATCTACGTTATTTTTACAATAATAAAACATCAGATTCATCAATAATGATTAATTAATTACGTAAAATAGGCGACACCTTGTTATCTGGGTCATAGCATGTTCTCCATATATTTCACAAAGACGGTGAATTTCACTTGTAGTAAGCGTTGTGATTTGTTTGCACTGAACCATGAATAATTGAAAATCGCGTCAAATCTTTTGCCAATCGATAAATTCGGCGCATCATCGCTCATAATAAGATTTTATTGATTCGATTTTTGAATATACAAAATGTTTCTTAAATAGCAAATGCATATAGCGCTATTTCTGATTAAAAATTGAATTAAAAAATCCTCGTTTTGCAATTTTTGCAATGGTTGACGAAATATTAATTTCTAAATACTGAAAAATAAGCGTCTATCCAATCATTAATTATTATTAAAGACTTTAGGACCTAATTTTTAATTAGGAAGAGCGCTATAATAATTAGTATTTGCTCTATTTAAAAAATACTGTATATATATATATATGTATTATATAATTTTTTATAGTTCTGTTATTATCTATAAATATAATAGAATACAATTGATAAGTATATACATATACGCAGAGGACGCAAAGTAATGACTGGGTGAAATTTTTTTACAAAGAGATATTATCTTTCTTATATTGACTCTTTTTTTTGTATAAATCAATTCTCTTTCGTCTCCGAGAATATATAATTTCAATATATATATATAAATTAAATTGCCAAAGAAATTTATCATTATTATTAATAAAAACAATATAATTATACATAATTGTGCATGGTTCTGCATATAGGTAGTAAATTCAACGAGTTCTACGCACCAGTTTCTATGGTTACTATAAACAAAACATTGGTCGCATTCATTGCTATTCCTCATATCGTGATAACTTGTCATTACTATTATTAATACGTACTATACGTAGATGATGCATTGTCAATAGTTGTATTTTTAGTGATCAGACATCTTTTAACTAACATTTAATTTACAATTAACTTGTGATAAACGTCTAACTTTTGATTCTAATCAAAAAGTCCATTTTCGAGAAATGGACTCCGAAAAAAACGATTTTGATAAGAACGGAGAACAGCTGGTTACTAGATGGCGACAAGACCACGAGGATACGCCCAGTACCTCGAACAAAATCGATAGACCACCGACGGGCTTCGTGAGACCTCAAAGCAAATTTGAACGACCAAGATCTCGGCGCGGGCATAAGGACGAATCATCAGAGTATGTCAATTCAGCTACATATCGCTCAGCAACACCCGGACGTCTCGCTCTTGCGAGACCACCATCGGCGTCCCTTGTGTCAAATCGTGCACCGACCGCGGGTCCAGGCGGATTCAGGATAGGTTCCGGACTGAGTCGTTCTGGCACAGGATTGGCCATCGCCAAGCAGTTTAACGTCAGTTTGTTGGATAGACCTATTACACAGCATGGGATAGCAGGCATACGACCGGGTACCACCAGAGGTTTACCGATGACGAGGTAATAGTATTACCTAATCTTGCTGTTAGTACATTCGTACTTATTTTATTAACTTTTCAAATTTCCAGGCAAATTCAAGACAAAAGATACTACGACGGTTTGCTGCAGCTGAAAATAAGAGAACTAACGCAAGAAATTGGAATGATAGTGAAGGACATTGAGGTACAGAACAAGGAGAAAGCTACTTTCTTGCATTATGATAAGAGAGCCAAGAGCCTTGCCGCAGAGTTGACGACTCTACAGGCTGAGTTAGCGGATTACAATCTTGTCGTGGATAAAATGACTTTAGATGTAAACAAAGAGGCGATCGAAGAAGAGGCTAAGGAGATGATGCTGATGAATGAACGTAGGACGGTAGAAGTCGAGCGGATGTTTGAGCAACGAAAGCAGATGGAACAAAAACTGCATGAGATAGAAAAGGATATCGAGAATGAGAGAAAAAGGACTGATCATATCATTGAGAGTATGGATCCACATACAAAAGACAAATATGATAACCTGTTCCGACAGAGGACAGAATTGCAGGAACAAGCACAACAGATACAGCGTGAATTGGACGAACTATCAAAAGAGCAAACATATTTGGAGGAGCAGATCGCTCTCTCGCCATTAAAGCAAGAGGCGGTGAAGCTGCAAGTGAGAATCATCGAAGCAGAGGAGAAACGAGACAAACTACGGGACGAAGAGCGTAAAAGATTATCACCAGAAGATGAGAAAGATCAACTGTTACAAAAAATCAAACGTGACAATACCGACATTGCCGCGACAGAGGCGCAGATAGTCGAGAAGGAGAAAAAGGTGACAGAACTCGAGCAACAACTGGAACAGCTGGAGACCGACATGGAAGATAATCAATCGGAGAAGCAAATCAAATATCAGGAATTGCGTAAGCGCGAAGAGATAATGGAGGAGTTTATGTCTACATATGAACAGAACAAACAAGAGGAAATGGAAAAACTAGAAAAACTCGAGAAGGAGATCGTTGACAAACTGGAGACCATGGCAAACGCGGTAGAGAATAACGAGTATCTCACGGAAGCTGAAGAAACAGCTATTTTACGTGATAAATTCCCATACAACGAATACGAGACTGTGCATCACGATGATGAATTCGAAGAGCTGAAGAAAGATTATGCAATTATGCAACAGACGTTCAATAGACTAAGAATTCTAGAGGAGAAGCTGCAGCTAGAATCCAAGTTGATGAAAGAAAAGCTGAAGAAACAACAGAGCGAATTGATCGTCCTAGAGGATCTGGACGGTTTGAAAACACGAAATGAACTCGAACGGGACGAGTTAATTACTGAACGAGAAGGACTGGTGTCCGAAGAATCGATCTGCGAGGACGAGGTCAAATCATTGCATGCGGAATATAATGAACTCAAAGAGCGAGTGGAAAAATATGTGATTTATCCAGAGATCAGTAATCTAGAAGATAAATTAGAAAAAGTAAAAGAAGAAAATAAAAAAATTGAGGAATTCATAGCTAAAGAAAAGGAGCGCGTTAATTATGAGCCGCTCAAAGAGAAAGCTTTTGAACTTATTAATAATTATGGAGCGTTACTTCAAGAGAATCTCAAATCTCTTTATTAAATAAATGTACTTTACACACTCTCTCTGTTTCTATATGTATAATTAACACTTCTATATTCATCTTCCAATAGTATTTATACTAAAACAATAATAAAGTAAATATAAATAATAATAAAAAATACTATCAAAATGATAACAAAATTCTCAGAATCAAAAATCTTATTTTTCCATACTTTATTTCCTTAATGGCTTCAGTACTTAACTGAAAACGCTTACCGCGCGACAAAATGTTACGCGGTAGCCAATAAGCTTAGAGCTCCTAAGATGTTTATTGGTTACCGCGTCGCATTTGGCCGCACGACAAGCATTTCCGCGTTCAATGTACAGAAACCATAAACTTCTGTTCATTTATAACTGTTATCTCAAATTATGATGTCAAAAGCGAGAAAAAATATACATAATAAAAATTCTTGCAAAATATATTGAAATAAAAATGTGTTTCGATAAAACACAATACACAATTGATAGAACTGACTTTTAAAATCTGTATAAAAAAAACTTTCTTTTTGGAGTAATATTACGTTAAACGACTTGCAAGGTTGCAAGATCGAGCACATAGTATAGTTTAAAATAATTACTGCTTTGTCTACTATTCTAAATTTTCGCTCAGCATTCGTATACGTATGACGTATAAAATATATTGTAGATCAATATAAATCTTTTTTTAAGCTTTTAATCTTATTTTTATAAAATCAGTATTGTACGTTCACGTAATCTGAAAGATGATGCACTGTCATTGTCTATACACCAGTTACAAAACTTTCGAATCCTTTCGAAACTTTATTCTAATCCACAGCTTGATCTCTCTTTCGTTAGTTTTCAAAGTATAATAGCATTAGAACCGTCGAGGTATTTCACTAGCAATAGGGTTAATTGAAGATGATGAAGAATAGATTAGTAGAGCAATGAATGAAACTGAAAGATGGATGATGCCTCACAATTACGCAAAATGAATAAATTCAAAATGGCAGAACTAATATGGCGGATGGAAATGTAACAGAATCCAAAAAGTGTTTAAGGGGATGCTGGAGTGTCCTGTTTTACTCAAAATTTTTGGAGACATTTTTAATTGCCTTTATGGATCGAAAATTCCTTCTCCACAATTAAATTAAAGTATCGACAATATAACATAGTCCGCTTCATTCATTTTAATATGAAAAACAAAAAAAAATTAAACTTACAGTTTTGTTATCGGCTTCTACAGTCGACTCGCCACATATATATGCTGCATATAATAATTTCGGGTCTTGCACATTAAAAAACGGTATCAATCGGACAACAGGAATCCTCAAGGAACAATACTATGCTTGGAGAAACGAGCTAAGTGCTTTAGTATAAGAGCACGAAGTCTCCAAAAATTTTGTTGATATGCTACGAGTGAAATTGACGTGAAATTGACCACATAACCTTACATTCAAAAGATATATAGGATATAGTAGAACAAGAAATGTATATAACACGTTTTACTTAATGGCTTATTTAATATACGTAATGTTTTTACTTAATGTATGTAAATACTTTCATGATGTATGTAATATTTTAATTCCAATTAAAATATTACACACATCATGAAAATATCCTGTTTTATCGACATCAATTAAGTTCGGCCGTCTCTCCAGCATCGCCTTAACTAATTTTTAATATAAGGAAGGATTATAATAACAGAATAGAAGAAAATAGAAGCAAAAGAACACGTGCTTGTATCATGTTTTACAAAAGGTTTAAAAAATAATAGTTAAAGGGTTTAATGTGGTTGCTGAATCAGAATCGAAGTAAAAAAAGAGAAAATATATAATTGCAAATTCAATATGACGCAAAGAAATGTAATTATAATTTAAAGTTTAATCGAGCTTTGGTGAAAATTTTGTAAGAGAAAATTATATGGTCGTTCAAAAAAAAAAGAATCGTGCGCGTAGCGCGTTGATAATAAGAAAGTATAATGCGAGAATCTTCTTAATAAGTCATATCGCTCTTGCAGATATTTCGTCTTTTAGAAAGACAAAATAAACTTTTAAACATTTTAATCACTTGTTTATTTGACTGATCTATCGTGACAACTATTTACTTTTCATAACAACTATTTAGCTTTTTTATATATTTCTTTTGATAAATCGCACAAAACAAAAGTGGAAATGTACATTATTTGAAAAAGAAGAAATTAATAGTTGTCAGGCACATGTCGAGTCGAGGATTGGCTTTAGATTCGATTTAAGGTTCGGCTTGAGGTTTCGCTAATTTGGATGTTTTTTTAAAATATAACAACTGCAACTGATGATACAATACATATAATCATTTGGAGCATTTTAAATAGCTTATTATGAGTATAACGCGTGAATATTTGATAAATATGCGCATGATTCGACAAAATTATTCTATTGTAGAAAATAATTTTAAGTAGCAATAAGCGGTACTTGAATGATCACTTAAAGTAAAGTCGACTTTCGTGGAACGATAATATCTGTATTGAATAGTACTTGATGTATTATAAAACTATCCATATGTAACCTTATTTTGCACAAAATTCCAGGGAATGGAAGTAACTCGTTACTTAATTGTAACGAAGTTACAGTTACAATTAAGTTACTTTTTTGGTAACTTTACTGGTAGCTGCATACGTTACTTTCTTTTTTTGGTAACTGTAACGGTAACGAGTTACATTTTTTGGATAACGGTAACGAAATTTACAGTTACTTTTGTCGTTACTTTGCACACGATTGAACACGGTTCGATTGGATACATGCCATTTATAGCGCTTATCAATAAGACTTGAAAGCCCTTATAGACATTTGGCCGTCATGATTCAGTAATTATTTTACACTTCTATCTGCTATGTAATACATAGGACATACAAATATTTCAGTTTGCTGCATATTTTACAGGTTTAAAAATTTTTTTTAAATTAAATAAAAGTAAAATGAGAAGAGCTACGAATCCAAAAGCGAAACAGTTTATTTCCAATAAGACGATGACAATAAGTGTCGAAACGTCGTTTGTTTTATCTTTTTTTATCCATGTATTGTTCTAATATATGTATATGGGACATTTCACGCCAAGTGGGCCACCCATTTTACGAAGTTCCATGGATTTTATTCATATTGCGTGAACTTGAACAGTTTGATGAATAAAGACTCTATGCCAAATAATATACCTGTAGGCCAACTGGTTACCGAACTGTAGAACCGTCAATTTTTGGGCTTTCTCGTTGCAGCGCTCTTTTCGCTTGTCGTTGGCATGAAAGGCAATTTTGAAAATAAAGTGCAGACGTATTCTTATAGAAAATTGAACGCTCTTTCACGTAAGAATATTCTTTTTTCGATTAGACCGGTTTACGATGATGTTTTTCAGTTTTGAACTTTTCAAAATGGCGGCGCGCTTAAAAGGCCGCTCTCAATTTTCTTTTAATATAGCTCAAAATGTAGCGCCAGGTATCTACTTTGTTATTCTAAAAGGACTTAATGAGTCACGCATTCGTTTGGAAGTAAGAGCTAGAAAAGTGAGTGCCGCGGCAGGGTGACGGAGCAACATTGCCTCACTTTCCTAGCTCTTACTCCCAAACGAATGCATGTCCCATTAAGTCCTTTTAGAATAACAAGGTAGAGACCTGGGGCTACATTTTGAGCTATATTAAAAGAAAATTGAAAGCGGCCTTTTAGGCGCGCCGCCATTTTGAAAACTTCAAACTGATAAACATCATCGTAAACCGGTCTGATCGAAAAAAAGAGTATTCTTACGTGAAAGAGCGTTAAATTTTCTATAAGAAAACGTTTACATTTCATTTTCAAACTTGCCTCTCATGCCCACTAATGACAAGCGAAAAGAGCGCTGCGACGAGAAAGCCCAAAAATTGGGTGGCCCACTTGGTATGGAATGCCCCATATGTACTCGTATACATTTAATTACATTGTCATCGTCGTTCTTATCGGAAATAAACTGTTTCATTTTTGGTAAAAACTCGTAACCCTTCTCAGTTTACTTTTATTTAATTTATTATTTGAGCCATTCTACATTGTCTTTTTTTTAAAATAAAACTATATATTTGTCCGTGTTACGTATAAAAAAAAATGCAAAAGTACTTAAACAATAATTTTTGCGTTTTGTCATTTCCAATGTTATAATCCAAGATGGTGTAATGATAAAATAATCAAAAGTTTTAATATTTATTTACTAATTAGTAATCACTAATGTTTATTTTATTTTTATTCTGTCCAATTCAGGAGGGAGCGACATTTTATTTGACAATAAAAATGGAATAAAATTCTTTTCAAACTGTTTGGAGGGCTTGATATTCTTTGTGCACATAATGTTCCATAATTCTAAAGCACGATTGCAGTCTCCCATTTTATCTGCAAATGTAAATATTAGACGTTTACATTTGGATTGTTTAAATAAATTTTATATAAAGTTTATATAAACTTTAAAATGAAGAGAGAACATAGCTTACTATAAGCAGAAAGGAGCGCTTCACACATCATATTTTGATTCACATGAATAGCATCGGTTACTTCAAGAATATTTTGTAAACCGTCTATAATACTGTTACTTTCTACGTTATTAAGATAGTACATAAGGCAATTCATGGACAGCGTATTATTCTGTAATAGAAAAATTAGAAAGTTTGATGAAAGGAAATGTAAAAATGTTATCTAAAACCAGTTTTGTGATTAAACTGCAAATCAGAGAAATATAAGTTAAATGCCGTAATTAAAAACATTTCGGTTACCTGTAATAAAATTTGTAATTTCTCCGTTTTGTTCAATGTCGCTAATGCTATCGCCAATATCGTGTTTGCTGTTTGTTCAGAATAAATAGTATTTATTATATCATACACATGATTTATCCAGTTATCCGCATCGTGTAATTTTGAACTGTATTTTTGCTCCAACAATAATATCAATACTTCCAATATCAACGGCATCTTATGAAATTTTTGCGCGCATTTTGAGAGTACATCCACGGCTTCTAAAATGTTGCGTTTTAATGACATTGCTACCAGCGGTTTTAGCAACTCCATGGTTACTTGACAATAATTTTTTTCTAAAAGCAAATTTAACATATCCTTCGTGCGATCATGATACTGACTCTGTGCTAGAGTTTGCAGAAGTATACAACAATACTTCTGCGCGTCTACTTTAAAATCAATGATGTTGAGTGTATTAATAATATCAAAAGCTTTTGTGAGTTTATTTGCCTTCACCAATGCGGTGGCATACATCACAATTTTCATTCTGTCAATCTGGAATTTATTAGGCATAATCTGCAATTCGGGTAACAGTGCTTCAGCCTCGTTCAATTTGTCATTCTTCACATATAATTCAAATAAAATAGACTTCATGTTAGGTGTCCATTCGTACTGGCACGCATCATATTCTTGTTTTATTTCTTCGACTTTTTTAATATTGTTCTCAAAACAATATGAGATTAGCATTTTCTGCAAAATAAATTTAATTCGGTCTTTGTAGACTGAATCAGTGGAATTCTTCAATTCCACTAGATAATATGTTAATTCTTTAGTGTTCATGTACTTCAAGTGTGACATGATCGACAAATCTTTCATAGAAGAATCAACTAAATTGTCTATTAGAGTTATCACCTTTGGTGTAAGATTAAAATTTTTATTCTTTTTTAGTCTGTTCTTGAGAATGTTTGCATCAAATTGCGATATCTTTATTTCATATATTTTTAATTCATCCAGAAGAAGTTGTAGATCTTCTATATAAATCGGATATTCAATTTTTATCAATGATTTCAACAATGTACCGACAAAATCATGACCTTGTGGAAATGTCGTCAATAACAGTACACAGGTTTTGAAGTCTTTAGTATCGAAATAAGCGTGTACTAATGGTTTCATCAATTCCTTATAATATACTTTGTAACGTATAGAGGACGTGCACAGTAGCACTAAATCCTGCAGCCGATTTTGCTGCAGCAGAAAAGACAATAAAGGCGTAAATATGATATCACCTTCTACACCACTCAGTAACAGTTTCTGTAAAGTGATAACTGGATCAGTAGTATTTACATATGGATATATGTAATGAAGCAATGTGTCTGAATCTATTTTTACATCAGTGTTCACCATAGATTTCACGAGTGAATATATCTCAGCCTCTCCCTTATTATTGTATGCTGTTATCAGTAAAGGCCAATAATAATGCGGTCGTATCTCTATTTTTTTCTGTCTCATTACATCGAATATCGCAAAACATAGTTTCTCTCTACCCAACTTCAAACCTATCTCCGCTACGTCGAGCAATGCTTGATTGCAACCAGATTCAACAAAGTCGTTTGCATACTTAATAATATTATCAATCGGCGCGTTTAATATTATTAATTCGTTCATGAAACTATTTACAAAACTCTGTGTAATCTCCTTTGTCACCGCGTCGTTCATCGCAATACAATTTATGATAGTTTGAGCGTCCGCAACTTGATTGGCACGTATCAGTTCTGTAATCATCTTGAAGATCTCAGTCTGAAGCATAGGTACTGAGGTCATTAAAAAATTCAAAACAACTGGGATATGCCTGCTGTTATTGGATATGCTCAGAATCTTTATTATCCTCAAAAGATTCACATTGTCTTGTGGCTCTTCGTTCAATATCTTAATTAAATTCGGAATATCACCAACTCTTGCATATCCACATGCCAGCTCGCCATATGCCTTGGTTGTGGGTAGTTTTACCTCTCGCATTAGTGTTATCATTTGCTCAACCTTGACAATATCATTCTTTGTCATGTAAATCCGTACTAACGCATTGACTGCCTCCTCATAGATGGTTACATTCTTATCCTTTGTAACAGATAAGATATCCCATAGGTGTTCACTATTATTTGTCTTTGTGGCTATATTTAACAGTAAACGATAAGTATTTTCATCTGGCTCCACACTCATATTTTCTAAGAACTTCTTGGGATTCACAGATAAAGAGTTATCTTCATTAACACCTAACAAAGTGTTGTAATACTCCAAAGAGATTGTTCCATCATTCTTCTTTGCCAAACGCCACACCTAAACACGAAAATAATTTATTTGGTCAATCTTTCTGTTTTGTTTCAATTAAAATACTACTATTACATAATTTTTTGTCTATGTAACATCCTAGACAGTAAAATGCTAGCAGTATACCAGCAAACTTGATTGCTTTTTTAGCAGAATCCTATCCACAGTGTCTCTTTAAACTTAATTTTTATCATTAAGACTTATTAGCCATAATATAACAACAAAATATAGCAAAAACATGCCTGTTATCATGTTATAATGCAGAGCCTGTTCATTTTCTAATACATTTCTGTATCAAAATTTCAATATAAAAAATGGATTATGTACAGCTATTGCTAGACTTTTACTAACATAATATGCAACACAGTTTGAAATACATGTTCTTGATAGATTTGGCTATCTGGGATTATATATTCACAATTATATTTTAAGGGAAAACAAATTACGCCATACCTGGCCTGCTAAATTATCCCTTTCCGTTGCCTCTAAATCGCACAGTAGATTGCCGCAGCATTTCAGTAATAGAATGCCAACATCTTGAGGCAACTGATAGTTGTTTTTATTGCATAAATTGATAACTTCCTTTAGACCATCTGCTGAAACTCGGCCCTTCTTAATATCATCACAAAATGACATCAGTTTATGATCAACAATGTCGGATTGTGATGACTGCGGCACCGTCGTGCTGTATGTCCTGTTGCACGCTGCGATGTAAATTTCAGGTCGCAGGTTCCGAGGATGCATGTATTCGAGAACATAACCTCCGCATTGTGACGAACGATTAGTTATTCCGCATCGCGACAAATGCAGCTGCGAGCGACCAAGGAATATCAAATATCTTCTTAAATACAGTACCTTATCGATCTCGATCATCTTCAGATCAGCGTTTGTCAGCGTTGACGAAAAAGAATGATAGTAGACGTTACAAACACGTCATTACACAACACATAAATATTAAATTGCATTAAATCGCCGAGCAGCGAGCTATCCCGTAGCCCGTAGTACACCGTAGTAGGAACACAGTATATACAGTAGCGCAACTGTCGGCACCTTTGATGTAAAGCGGGGAGCCAGGAAGTAAGATATAAGGAGACTCCACTCCGTAAAATAAAAGTGGACCCATTTTAGGTTTCGAGTTCAGCTTCCGATTCTGATGAGTGCGAGTAAGAGAAATGATCATTTCTCTTACTCGCACTCATTATGCGCAGCACTACTAAATTCACGAGCGCTGCGAGTGTCGAGAATCGGAAACGGAACTCGAAACCTAAAATGGGTTCATGTCTTGTAGACTGGCGAGACCTAGGGTACGGTCAACGCGATGTTGCAAATGCTTTGAAGCGTTTTTTGATTGATCAATTTGTAAAGTTCTTTCTTCTGATTGGTCAATCAAATGCTTCAAAGCATTTGTAGCGAGACTTTGACCGTACCTCTAGTGACCCTCTAATAAGAGTCTGGACACGTGAAGTCCGCCATTATTCGTCGAAATTGTGCGAGAGAGAAAAAATCATGCTATCTCATTCTAGTGGCGCTGTAAGTTGTAGCTGATTGTAGCTCTACAAACTTCATAGTTTCTGTTTCTGTTTCGTCTCGCCTCA